CAAGGTGGAGGGGCACTAATAAGGATGGCACAACGGTAGTGCGTTCCCTTATATCCGATTATAGCGGAATGTACCTCCAGTTTGGAATGCGAGTAAAGGTCGTCACAATGACCTCTTTCAATCAGGGCGCGGGAAAAAATTCCCGGCTGTCGACTTTCGCTGTTTTCCCGTTTCACATCACACATGATATACCCTCCCCCGAGTAGAAGGCGCGACCAAAATCCTATATAACTACTAATTTTTGTGCTTGAAATGAGAAGTTGTCGGTGACGACCCTCTTCCCCTCTCGGTCGATAGCACTTTTTTGGAGAAAAAGTGTTGGAGTTTTGAAAAAAACTCCATCAGAATCACACGAAGTTGAGTGGCGCTGGTCATCACCGTAGTAGAAGGAGGACGTTCTAACGAAGAACGCACAATGGCTGGGGGCGTCTTCGCCCATCAGGTTATCGCGCTGTGCGCTTTGAGACACCTCCGGTTCTGGATTTGTATTGTGGCATCAATCTTAATAGAATGTTGTCCTGCTTTGGATCTTTCTTTCCTTTCCAGAATACGTTAACCATGAAAAATCGGAATGTACGAAAAGGTCGGCTATTCGGAACTCCGCCTTACCCAAAACCGCAACTTGGGAAACATTTCAGGTAAAAAAAAAACTCTGAGCTACTTCGGATTAATCGCGTGAATTCTTGTCTTGCAGGAACGTGCAAGTATCGCTTAATTTCCCGCGATTCTATATCACATACTGGATGTCGCATTCATCTGATTACGGGTTCCGAGTAATATCGGATGGTTTAAACTTGCTCGCCTCGATGAAGCTGACCGTACAGGCTGAGGCCGAATCGGTACCTAGTTTTGTTAATAATCCTTGTACAGTCTTCGCTGCGTATGCTGGGCGGTGTAGGTAGGGGAGGGGCGAGGGGGAAGGGGGATTGGCGCGGTGCCAATGTTGAAGCGAACAGGCGACAGGAATTCGTGGAAAACAGCTGGAGCCGCGCCAAACCCAGCCCCGTGACAAGCTCCAGCATCCGCTGCGAACCAGACCGTAATGGTTTTCAAGGAGTCATCTAGTCAAGCCTTTAAGGGTATCACACGCCGTCGCAGTTACGTATGGATACCTCAGCATGTATCAGCAACTCTTTGGGGAACTCAGGTTTCTTTCATTTTCCTTTAATTTTTTTTTGTTGTCTCGTTACGTCTATTCTGAACCCTCGTTCATACTCTATTATGTGGAGAATCCGCAGAACCGGCCACAAAAGGATGCATGCTTACCACATTGACGACATTCTGAGCCACCGGTGGCTCATAACTTTCTCCATCACTTTTCGGATTATTGCCGGCAGTCTCAGTCGATCTTTTTCTTGCTCTAAAATAGCCTAGCTGAAAGGTGAGAATGTCCAAACTGGGATGAGCAAGAAAATGTGGCTGCCTCCTGCGGATACTTTAAATTAACAATTGAAATATTTTTTACAAGTAGCCTACTCTATCGAATCAAATTTCCAAAATAGTTTTTTTTGAACGGGACTTTGCGTTGCAGGGACTGCGCGGCGGCTTTGATCACATGCAACGTGAGATCTTACTGTCGTTGCCGCCATATAGCGCCAGATCTTATTAGTCGTTGGCGCCATATGGCGCCAGTAGGCGCCATTTCGGCGTTGGCAGTCTTTTTGACACCGAATGCGATAGTAACCTCCATGGGTAGGTTATTTGACATCCTTGTCACGAATACCGTGGCCTTCCAGTGCCGGCGCCACCTAGCGCCAGCGGGCGCCACTTTGGCGCCGGCGATCTTTTTGACACCGAATTCGATATAAACTGTGCCGTATGTGGCCGGTCTGTGAACTGTGAATTGTAAGTTGTGAAAAGCAGAGGAAACTTTTCAGAAATTTCTTATATAGAAACAGTAGTTATGTCTACACACTTTTTGGAAACTCACAGATAGCGTAAATACTATGGCGTGCGTGCGGGTGATCGCAGAGGGTGGGCGTAGATGGGCATCCAATAATCGCGTCTAAGCAATGATATGACACTAGCAGTCCACTGCACGCATTGAACTAATAATTTGCGAAAATTATGAACATAGCGCGCAAAAAGTGGATCCCGAGCGGACAATGCGCTTTCCCGCAAAACGCAATTGTCGTCAACGTGCTAACAATACGGAGAGTCAGCTACACGGGACCTACTGTTCGCTTATGGAGGCTTTGTCAAACCATTTTTTTTGCCGAATATTTAGTTATTTCTGCCAAACGAGGTTATTAGATAGAACCTTTTATTGGCCCGACGTTTCGACCTTCTCGTCTTCTTCAGAGGCCTGAAAATGGCTCGAAGCTTTCAATTTGTCACCTACCCGATCAAGCGCCTCCCCCACTCTAGCGTTTCCGACCGTCGTGTCCCGAACACCCCATTTTTTTGCGATTTTTCAGGACGGCGCATTCCGCAGATCGATGCGTATACCATAAGTTGTTGCCGATTCTCCGGAATCGCGGATTCTCCACATTCGCACAGCCTAACCACGAGAAACCTCATGATTCTGCATTGAAACAGATTTCAAATGCTTTTCGGCTTTAGAGGGGAGGGGGGCATTTTGCTTTTTCGCCAGTTTCTTATGTTAGTTCCTGTTGAACTACACGTCTCACCTTGGCAAAATCTGTCGAGTGTAAGCGAAGCCCGTGCGTTGCTTCACAGGAAGTCACAGGTCTCCACTGGAAGCAATTTCAGTGATTAATAGGGACCAGCGAAATGCCCCCTCCAAGCCGAACACAGCTTCTATTTGATCAAATTGTTTAGGTGCACGTCTACAGCAACGGTCATACCCCTTCTGTTGACGGCCTATCGTCTAGCGACGAAGAAACGTTTTTGTTGGGCTTGACTCGAGTATCTTACGTTCGAGAGAATAACCGTGGACGCGATGCACCCCAGCATAGATTGACAGCACATGACCTAAAGGTCTGTCAACGGTTTTGCCCATTATTTTCATAACGTTCAGCTGTCCTCTCTTCCCTACTGTCCTGTAAATATGGTGAAGGAGACGACGAGTGTGAGATATTTAGGCCTCATGGACAGCGCAGAATCGCGATGCTTGCATATCAATAGCAGATGGAGTACATCGTGCCCATATGCTTCGCAGAATTCTCAGCAACGATGCTTTGAAGATCCTAAAAGTGACCTGATTTTCGAGAACATTTCTCTCTGTTTGACTATTAAATTTTATCACATATATTTGCAGCTGCACATGGAAGAGGAGGCCCAGTCGTCTCCTTCGGATGTTCCACGAACTGATGATTCGACACCTAAGGGTGACCGTGGTCATCGCCGTGGTTACAGTATGTCCGATCATAACCAGTCACTGCTCAATCAATTAATTGGAGAAGCAAGCACGAAACTTGTAGCTCACTGTGAACAAGGTGAGTTCGCTGTAGTTTTCCCAATACTGGACTTTTGCAGGGAATCCTCGCACAACGATCCGATTGTGGTGAAAAAAGTAGGTCTGAATTGAGGCCTTCCTCATTCTGAAGGCCTAAAAGCAAAGCTTCATGGCGAAGAGTGCTTTGGTGACCATTGCCTACCCATGCCATTTGCCACTACAACATCAAGCTGTCCAGCGTTGGTTCTGCCAGCGCCCTGGGCCCACCATGCCTTCCATCAGTGTCGTTTAGTTGGTGCCAGACTTCTCCTGCCACATCGGCTGCACTTCCCTGCAAACCATTGTGTAGATCGAATAGCATGAAGATCACTTCCTTGAATGGGAGTGGATTGCATGGCGCATCCCAAAGAACAAGATCAGTGCTGAAAG